CTTTTGTGCCAGGCACTATACTAAGAGCTTATTGTGCAATAAACATTTAATCTTCACAACAACTATGAAGTGTGTACAAGTATTATGCCTCCATTTTACAGTTGAGGAAACTGAGGCACAGGGAGGTTGTGACATGCTTATTGAGCTAGGAAGGAGTGGAGTCAGAATTTGAACCCACGCAATTGACTCTAGAGCTCTTAACCGCCTGTGCTGTGGTGCCATTCAAAAACGATAAATTTGGAAGTGTTAGGACTAAAACTTCTGACTTTCAGTCCACTGCTTTTCTTGGATAATAAAGCCTGACTATATGCATGTCCAAATCAATATACCAACTGGGGATACAAAATATGTAAACTGCATGTCCCTTATCTTTGGGAAATTTACCAGACCAGCAATAAATGCACAAAATATCTTTATTTGGAGGATGCTTCTAAATCTAAGACTCGCTCTTCGTCTCTTTATTTCTTTTACTTTTCTTTCTTTATCTCTCTCTGTCTTTCTTTCTGAAGCCTCATTTTTATACATTTACCAGCCCTTGTTCTATGTTTTAAATTGATTCAAGGACAGTAGATGAAATCATGAATATAATTTGTACTTCTAGCTGTGAAATACTATAAGAAAATTGGACTTCGATTCCATTCTTTCTGTCTGACATTCACATTTAAGCCTTAAAATTATTTGTTCTATAATTCTGAGAAATACCAACTTTATCTCAAATCAAATCCACAGTTCCAGCTCTCATCACTAGCTCAAACCTCATAGAGGAGCAAATATTTTGGTGTTGACAGAAAAGCTTCTTTCTGCATGTGTTTTGCAAGGGTGGGCCCACATTTCCTCAGCAGTGAAAGGACAAGCATGTCACTGTTCAATTTTTTGGTTCTCTGTGTACTCTGTGTTCTCTGTGGAGAACTCTGTGTTCATTCTGGCTTATTCATTGATTCATACAATAATTCAACAACACTCACCATGTTTTCTTTAAACATTCCTGTGCAAGATGGATAGCATAAAAGTGGTCCTTTTGAATTATTTTTTTGAATAACTTTTTCTTTCAATGTTCTTGAGAACAACTTCTTTGCTAGACATTCCTATGACTTCTAAGTAAATAAATATACATGTCAACTCTGGCCTTTTTACACCTATTGGAACCCTCCAATTCCTCAACCACCAAATGTACTTGGCACTTAAACTGGACTCGAAGTGTGTATTTGCTGTCTTGCAGATGAATTTTCTTCCTGTTCTGTGCAACTAATTCACCATCTACACTGAGAGGGGCCTACAATGCTTTTAAATATATAGGGTTGTCAGAAAAGTCATGATGTATTTTTTCTATGTTTTTCAAAGGTCGTTTATTTATATAAAGAACAAAGATCAATCAATGATATATTGCCTGTTTTGTTCGATAACCTTTTGCCACCTTTCAGTGAGCTTCATAATTCCTTGTTCATAGAAGGACCTGTCTTTATCAGCAAAAATCTGAACAAGGTGCTGATTTACAGCTTCATCTGAATTGAACGTTATACCACGCAAGGAGTTTTGAAGAGAGGGGAACAAGTGGAAGTCTGACGGCACAAGGTCAGGCGAGTATGGTGGGTGTGGCAACACAGCCCATCCAAGCTCTAATAATTTTTGACGGGTGATCAAACTTGTGTGTGGTCTTGCATTGTCATGATGGAATATAACTCCTTTACAATTAACAAGCTCTGGATGTTTCTGGATGATGGATTCATTCAAACTGTCCAATTGCCGACAGTACACATTTGAATTGATTGTTTGGTTTCTTGGTAGGAGCTCGAAAAACACGATGCCTTTAAAATCCCACCACAATGAGAGCATAACCTTCCTCTGATGAATGTCTGCTTTCGATGTTGTTTGAGGTGAATCATCACGATGGGACCAAGACTGTTTGCATACCACATTGTTGTAAACAATCCACTCCTCATCACCAGTTATCAGTTGCTTCAAAAAAGAATCGTTTTCCTCACGTTTAATGAGCGTATTGCACATGTTTATATGTGCCGTCAAATGAACTTCTTTGAGTGCATGCGGAACCCAAATATTGAACTTGCTTATGTATCCCAGCTTCTGCAGGTGGTTGTGAACGCTTCATTGATGGATGTTCAATCTTTCTGCAATCTCTTGTGTTGTGTAACATGGGTTTGACTCAATCAATGCCTTTATTTTGTCATCATCAACCTCGGTGGACCTCCCTGACCGAGGAGCGTCGTTGAGATCAAAATCACCAGCACGGAATTTCGTGAACCATCGTTGGCACTGACGTTCTTGTAGAGCATTGTCACCGTAAATTTTATGCAAATTTTCACAAGCTTGACACACATTCTTCCCTTTATGGAAGTAAAACAGTAAAATATGGTGAAAACGCACAGTTTGGTCTTCCATCTTCAACTTGTAAGATCTCCAAAACTCAACCAAATCGCTCAATTTTTTTTAGAATGAAGCTACAACCGTCAGCTGTCAAGTGACATAGCAATAACATAGATGCGAATGACTCTAGTACTTCCAAAAATGAACTAGCGCCATCTGTTGCAAACAGGCATCATGACTTTTCCAATAACCCAATAACACGTTAACCAGGGACCCCATGTGGTCCAGTCTCTTCACACAGTTGCATTTAAAATGTCCTCTAACCAAAAATAACTGGAGATGCAATTCAAGTCTTTTTAAAAGACTGTCAAAAGGATCTAATTCATAATCGCAGAGCAAAATTTCTTAAAATCCTCTTTTGAATCTCTCTGGCTCAGTCTTTCCCACATATCTCTGCAACTCATCAAACTTCTCTCCCAGTCCAAGTCCTCTGACTCACACCCCGTTTTCTTCCTTTTCAATGCTAACATAGAACTTCTTCAATTTACGACTTTTTCTACCTTTTACGTGAGGTTAGTTAAACCTCAGGCTCTAAAGCACAAAAGTTGCTTTCTGCACACACTTTTCTGAGGAAGGGAAGTGTATTCTCCTAAATTATTCTTTTTTGAACACTGATATTCAGAGAGCTTGAGGGTGTCACAGAGGGGCACTTTTTGGGAATGCTTTTTGGTTTTCAAGGACGACCGTACTTGTCAACAGAATATCTTGAGATGAAGGGAACGCTGTGGGGACATCAGCAGCAGCAGCAGGAGAGGCCTCAGAGGGAAGGGCTAGCAGGCATTTGGGGGCACCCTATCCCAAGGGAGGCATCTGCCATTCAGGGCCGGCCTCCTGCGCCCACAATCTGTGCCTCCACATAAGGGCTTATGCCCAGAAGGGTCCCAGTGCTCGGTTTAGTGACCCACTGTTGCCATATTAAATATCTTAATCATATTTGAACAAGAAACCCCTTATTCTCATCTTTAACCAGGCCCTGCAAATTATGTCGCCAGTCCTGAGCAGCAGCAAAGGTCCTCAAACATTGTTCACTTCCCATCCCTCTCCTTTACTCACTTTCCCACTCAGTGGGTGGTTCTCAAGTGTTGGCGAAACCTTGGACTCTTGTCAGGGAACTTGTGTCTGGCAAGCTGGCTCTCTAGGCGTCTGCAACAACCCGGAAAGTCGGAGGAATTGGCTCTAAATGACTAAGAGGCTGCTCCGCCCACGTGGAGCGGGGTTTTCCCTTCGAGAGCACAGCTGTGGCTGTTTAGATCCAGCTTCTTCCACTAAGAGCTTAGCTCAGGCTTCTGTCTTAGGACCCTTAGGCTCCCTGGGGTCACCATGTGCAGCTTCTCAGTGCCCCTCCTCTGATCATCGTAAATGTATCCTGCGGTGGTGTGGGCTTTCCTTTTCCTGAGCTGTGCGGGAACGGGGAAGAGTAGGACCAGACTCTAGATAGACAGAAATGTTATTTCCAAGCTGGAGGCTGCACAAAGGCTCCACTTGGCAAAGTGGTGCTAGCTCTGTACTCAGATGGGGTGGGAAGGGTCCTCTGGGATTTAGACAGCTGGTTCTTGGGGCTGCTGTGTATTTGCATGAGCTGTGTATGGTGCAGCTCTGGGGGGTGCCTTGCACGCTGACGGTGTCAGCCTGCACAGCCATGAAGGGTGGCCGTAGCGCAGCCACATGAGCTGCGTGACCTTGAATGAGTTGTTGAACCTCTCTAAGCCTCATCTTCCTTGTCCATGAGATGTAGGAGGTATTAATAACCACTTCGGTAGTTGAAAGGAAATGAAGTCACATACCTGATGACCAATCAGGTGTTAAATGCCGATTTGTATCAATGAGGGCCAGCCGAGTGGCTCAGTTGGTTAAGAGCTCGCTCAGGAGTGAGAACTCTGAGCAACAGCGGTTCGAGTCCCAGCCTGAGCTGAGCAGCCGCTGAGCTGCCAACAGGTAGCAGGATGGCTCAGCTAAAAAAAAAAAAAAAATTGTATCAATGAATGCTTGCTTGTTTGAAAATGCTAGCAATCATTGCCCTTCTGGAGCACTTATGTTTCCCAGTTTCAGAATTCCTCCCACCTGGAGATTCCTTTGCATTTAGTCAACTCCTCTTTTTAGAAGCAAATAGGCATACTCACTTTTTGAGCTCAATATGAAAAGACTTTGAGGAGAGAAAGAGACATGAAAGGAGGTGGCTCCAACTGTCAGCTCATGCAGCTCTTTCCTCTCTATCTGGGTTCTGGCTCCCCCCTCCCCCCTGCCCCCGTGATCCACAAGGGCTAGTGGTTTGCAACCAGGGATGCCCTCTCCGGAGATATTGGCAATGTCTGCTACTGGTGTCTAGTGGGTGGAAGCCAGGGATTCTGCTAAACATCCTACAATGCACAGGATGGCCCCCGCAGCGAAGTACCTGGCCAAAATGTCAGCAGTGGTGCGGGCGAGAAAGCCTGTCTGAGGACTTCCAACCTGCCCACTAGTCTGAGCGCCAACTCCAGCCTTTTATAAGCCAAGGGAGCAGCTCCATGCTGTTTCTCTTCCTATGAGCCACTGACGGGGCTGCAGGGGTTTCTCAAACTTTTAGGGAAGTCAGAGAAGTCCCAGAACAAATGGTGATGTTGGGGATTTTTATTTTTCAGATTCATGTGGCATGAGAGGATGACAGACTCAGGAGGGCCCCAGAGGCGCACACTTTGTTTTTTATCTACGTTGCTTTCCCAGAAAGTTCCTGAGACGTCAGACACTGCCCTTCGCTGCATAATAGCTGGTAATGGTCACTCACTAATCGCCCTCTGAAATCTCTCTGCGGGCCAGGCCCTTTGGCTCACAAAGACATTATTAAAACATCACTTGGATAAATGAGCAAAGTAAACAGAAATAGTCTCAGAGATATAGAAGAACAACTGATGGTTGCTAGATGGAAGGGGGGTGGGGATGAGGGAGAAGGGGAAGGGATGAGACAGCATAAATAGGTAACTACAATATTGCCACAGGGATATGAAAGGCAGTTTGGAGAATATAATCAATAATATTGTAAATATTTTCTAGGGTGTCAGATGGGCACGTGTCTTGTTAGGGAGACCACTTCATGGACGGTGTAGAGGCTTGACCACTGCACTGTACACCTGAAGCTGAATAATACTGTATGTCAACTATGATTTAATATATATGTAGTCACAGGATATGGAGTATATTGTAGAGAATAGAGTCAATGAAATTGTAATAGATATATATGATGTCAGAGGGGCAATAGATTGGGGGAGGGGGATTATCACTTTGTGAGGGGTGAAATGTCTATTACTTTGTTTTGTACACCTGAAACTAATTAAAAATAAAGTAAAAACAAACAAAGAAACAAAAACATCACTTGGGAAAATTACCTGGGAAGTTCATTCTCAGTGACCAATTAAGCAGCTAAATCCTCAATGATTTTTTTTTCTAAAACATTTCTTCGAGTCACTTCCTGGACACATTATTGTGATCTTCACTTCACACTGTGGCTTTGGGTTAGGCAACTCCCACACTGGTTATTTTTTTCAGGTAATCCACCCTTCATTTCCTGTGGCACATAAGAATGGCACGAAGAACTGCAGACACTTGATTGAACTTTTCTTCCCTCACTCTTGTACTGATCTCCAAAAATGGGTTAAAATTGTCCCCCCCACTGCTTGCTTCCTTCGGACATGCTAGGGTGCAGTGCAAACGTTAAGACCAAGGCAGAGGTGCCCCGGGAAGGAAAGGTGGGGGCTTGGAATTCCCCCTGAACTGGAGAATAAATAACCCAGAGCTGATACGGAATTTGTACCTCCACTGGTGAAAAGGGTTCATGATTAAAAGAAAATAGAAGGAACATAATTGGGTAGGAATGTTACCCTGCACCTTGTGGGTTGTTTTCTTTTCTTTCTTGGAGTATGTTTCTACCCTCAGAAAAACAGACCCCAGTGGTCTTTCCTGAGGGCAGATAGAAACCCTTTCTCCCTCTGGTCCCTTTTTCTAAGTCCAGAGTGGAGGAGTGCCAGCCTCTGAAAAGGCAGCGCTGCCTTAGTGGAAGTTGTAATGAAATCTCGTCCCCAGCCGGGATGCTGGAGGGTAGGCTGTGCACTCAGCCTCTCCGAGCTCAAAGCTGAGTCCTCGTTCTCCGTGTTTATTCATAGCCATTCAGATACGGGGACAGGCACAACTCCACTACTGAGCTTTCAGAGTAAGGACCCCATGTCACCCCAGGAAGCCCCAGTGTTTGGACGTACCCTCAACTCTGCTACCAGTCCCCACGCACGTCAGCCAGGTACTTGGGAGACGTTTGGGAGGTGGATCTTAATCTGTGACAGGAAGCCTTTAAAAACAAGGGTAGGATTATCGGGGGAGGCTTCCAGCAAGTGGAGGGAGAAAAAGAGAACCGCCCACAAGGTACAAGATACCACTTCTCTGTGCAAGTCTCATTTCTGGCTGATTATTCAGATCTATACCTCGCAAAGGGAAAAAACCAGTCAGCCCCTGAAGAAGCTGGGGGAATCGTTCTGCCCTGATCATTCTGAGTGAAAGAAACATTGACCTCTCAAGTGATCAGGATGGGTTCCCCAGGTCCAGCCCATGCATACTTTATATACTTTCCTCAAAAAGTCACAGAGAGAGAGAGAGAGAGAGAGAGAGAGAGAGAGAGAGAGAGAGAGAGAGAGAGAGAGAGAGAGCGAGCAATTAAATGCTTCCTAAGGCGGAATCTAATAAAACTGGCTGAAAGTGGGACTGATAAGAACAGGCAGAAATAAATTATGATCAGCAACCACCTTGATGGCTTTTCAGGGAAGCTCATTTTTGGTGGTTCAGTCGTTTGCTTGAAAGGGACTCAGGCGCATGGATGCTGGAGAAGGACGTGTCCTTGAACACAGGTCTGTCTGCTCCAGGTGCCGGGGACCGATGATTCAGGCCCCCACTTGGAGGAGCAAAGAGGAGCACCCACTGTTGCCACCAATCACATTCATGGTGTTGGTACAGAGGTAGTCTAGCGGGAAGCCCCCACATTGGCGACGCATAGAGGGAGAGAGGGGAGCTCCAAGCATCCTCAGGTCCCGTCTATGGTATGGGTCTGAGAAGAACATGGAGCTCTCAGTGGTCTCTGGGGTGGCATGCCAACAATCATGTGATAAGACAGAAAACACAAGAATGTTTCCTGGGATGGATTCAGAATGGTGTGTTTTTCCAAATACCAGGCTTTCCTCCTGCATAGATAGCACATTTCGATGAATTTTCTATGACATGGAAGCTAGTGAGAAAGCTCTTTGGGACACACCAGAAAACTTTCCTGCCCCATCACAAGGGGAAAGAGTCCCAAGGTGTGAATGGAATTCCTGGGAGCTTTATCAGATTGACCTATTAACATTATCCCCCGTTGATCGCCAGGGGAAGATGAACCCCTGCTGAGGGAGAAAGCATAGGTCAATTTCCGTGATGACATCAGTCACATATGCACAATACCAGCCTGGGAAACCTACATTCCAGACTCCTTCATCCTCAAGAAGACATGGCACCTGCTAATCTACTTAGTTCTTCCCTTTTTTGTACCATAACATACACTCACCTCCAAGCGCTGTTAAAGTATAATTTTCAGAAAGATGAAGTGACTCCCATGCAAATACAAAATTAACATTTCAAAGATTTTTTTTTTCAACTTTTTAAATAAAAAGGGAAACAGGAAGTATTAAGGCCTGGTTGAAAAACCTTTGAGGAATTAGGTATTTATAGACAATTTAACAAAGAAATGTTAGGCTATGACTGCTGGGTTGGGCGAAACCCTAGTCAGTGTCCCATAGAGCAATAAACCATAATTTATAGGGTTATGTTTTCTGCTAGACAGAGATTATTTGCAACTCTATTGGATAAACATCTACAAGTTTACACGTAACTTCACGAAATCTGGGAATTTTAATCAATAATGATCATTGAATGAAACATAATACATTCCCTTAGATAATTCTTAGATGGGCCTTTGTCCCCATATGACTTTGAAAGAGGGTACTATCTTCATGTTTGTCTTATTTGTAAGTTTTAGATACTTTTTCTTTTTTTTTAAAAGATTTTTATTGGGGTATTGGGGGATAGGAACAGTGCTTGGGAATTGGGGGAAGGGGACAGACAAGTTGCTGTCCTTTTTGTTCTTCAGTCTAGTTGTGGAGGACGTTGCTTCACTGGCCCAAGTTGGCACCATCATTGTGCTCTCACTGCAGCTGCTGGCCGCTCACGCTGGCTGCTGGCTACACACGGTAGCCCATGGCAACCCACTGCCACAGGGGCTGCAGCCTACGCCGTGGTCGGCGACTCACGGCAGCCCAGCTCCAGGTTGAGCTGTTGTTCAGCATCTTAGCTGTAGAGGGCAGTGTCACTGGCCCCATATATGGGATCCGAACCGGGGCCCTCTGGCATCCCAAGCCAGCTCTTAACCAACGCGCCACTTGGCTGACCCTAGATACTTTTTCTTAATAGCTCCTTGAGATTAGAGGCAGTAGTTTTCATTTTGTATGTCCCACCCCCTCCCAAGCACAGTACCATTGTAGGCACATAACATGCCGCATAGCTTATTAAAGGATGCAGTTGTATCAATGAGAGAGTGTTTTTAGTTCCCCTATAAACTTTAGCTGACCTATCCATCATGCTCATCCCTACTGCATATTATCCATTCTTACTCATAGCTTTATTATTTTCCTTTGTAAAAAATACTTAATGTAATAAGAATATCCTTATCTCTGTATCATCAGGTCAGCCCAAGCCAGAGGTAACTTGGTATAAGAATGGTCAAACCATAGAAGACTGTGACATTGTTTCCAGTTATGAATTCTTCGAGAATCAGTATACTCATGTGTTACATCTCTATGGGTAAGTGGATGAGCCTCTGTGGACAGTTTACTGAGATCCCTGTATCCTGTCATGTGCTGCTTACTAAGAGCTAAGGCCAAATGATTGGCTCATGTTTGCTTTTTGAGTCCTAATGTTAGATGTTATTGGCAGGCATCATATCAGCCCAGGTGTCCAGCAATGAGTCTTCACTGAGCTCTGCCTAGTAATTAATCACACTCTCCTAATTTGCTGCCATTGATGGGATTATAACTATCTAGAATTTTATTCAAGGGGGTCCAGCCTTTTTCATTCATTAAATGAGCTCTTTATTTAATCTTTTTTTTTCTCTGGAAAGTTTAGAAGCACAATAAGATTTCAGCACTGTCGTCCAATCTTTCTTGTGTAAGAACAGAAGGAAGAAGTGACTGACCATGAACCCACAGCAAATTGGTGATGGAACGAAGGCTAGAAACCATGGCTTCTGGCTTTTTTTAGGAAGTAGCAGGGTCCCAAACAGTGGTTTCTAATTCCTCCCCCCTCTGCCCCACAAGAACTAGATGGATGAAATCAGGAAGTTCCACATGTGAAGTAGAGAAAATTCGAACTGTTCTGGTTGAAGCTGGGTGGGCGTCTGTGCTCGTCCCCAGTGCTACTGAATTGGTCACAGTGTCCCTTACAGGGGTTCTGAGGAGCCAGAGTTTCTGCAGAGCATGGTATGAAAATGACTAATGTGACAATAATAGCCTTGGATCTGAGAATAACAAAGTAAGACTTCTGGCTCTACCGTTTTCTGGCTGTGTGATGTCAGCCAGGTATTTAACTTCTCAAAACTCAGTTTCTTCATACGTAAGATAAAAGGGTGGTTAAGATAATGAAATGGTTTAATGCTCATATAAGGCTTGTTGTGTAGTAGTTGTTAAAAAAACACAGTCTTCCTTTCTTTCTTTTTTAAACACAGGCTTTCTTTTTTTTCTTTTTTTAAACACAGGCTTTCTTATCTCCCCATTCACCTTTTTATTTCAAAGTAAGATCAGAGATGATGGTTGAAAAGCTTGACTCAGCAGGCTTCCAGTATATCTGACCTTATATCCAAGCTATCCATTTATTCATCTAATATTTCATTCTTGAAAGAATATCAACCAAGCAGCTATTCTATGGCAAGTGTGTTGTGTGTTGCTTAATTCTTGGGATAGAGGTGAACAACATAAACATGGTCCACACCCTCATACAACCTCAAGACAAGTGGTGAACAAGTCACCCATCTTCCCCTCACACGTCGACACGTTGGGCGGCAGCCCACCGGCCATTTGCTACCCCTTCATTCATGGTTTGGATTTTCTTGCCTTTTCTTTCCAATTTTTCCAAGGCCTTCCCCTCTCTCCTCTTCACCCCATTCAACTTAGAATCCACCTCTATGGTTCACAGGTAATTTTGGTTACTCATGGATCTGTCCAGGCTCAGACGTTCTCTTCTCCTTTCCATGGGCCTCCTTTTGGGTGCTTATTTATTTCTCAGGAGTGATGGATAGTTCAGTAGACCGTGGGCCTCCTAGGGGCAGAAATCCTCTCTGTTTCACACTAAGGCATTTGCTGGGGCCTAATACGGTGCCTGCAACATACATATCTATTCAAAGGATGGCTGGGTAGATGGCTATATATATGTACATATTTTTTGTTGTTGTTGGTGGTAGTTTGTTTAGATCAGTGTTGGCAAACTTTTTCTACAAAGAGCCAAATAGTAAATATTTTAGGTTTTAGAGGCCAGATGGTTTGGGTTACAGCTGCTCAACTCTGCCATTGTAGTGCAGAAGCAACTACTGACGATATGGTTTTTTTTTAAGCATGGCTGTGTTCCAATAAAACTTTATTTATAGAAACAGGTGGGGGGCCAGATTTGGCCTGTGGGCTATAGTTCGTCACCCCCTGGTCTAGATGGTAAGCTCCTTGGGGATCTACACCCAGTATACTTTTTTGTATGTTTCCCACCCTTGCCTTTGTCCCTCTGAGCACTCCATACATATTTTTGATTGATTAGTTTTAGTCTCACACCAAGATAAATATTATACTCACTTTTTAGCCAGAATAGAAGATTAACGCATATTCTTTTATCGACAGGATGTCATTTCAGAATTAAGATTTGCTATTCGTGTTATTTGTTGTGTACACAGAACCAGGAACATAGGCAAAACTAATGTCTGTAGGGTGTTAAGGGCTTAAGAGGTGAAGGAATGAGAAGACCATGATAAAGCCCCAGGGGCAGGCAAGCAGGTTAAAATGGGAGACACATGACACAGGGAAGAGAAATTTAGGAACAGAACTTGTGCTGTAGAAGGGGTAGGGGACTCCTCATTCTCTGCTCTGAAGTCCAGGAGTGGTTTATGCAAAGTCAAAGATTTAATGTGACAGAATGCACTTTCCAAATTCCTGGCTGCCATTTTGAAAAGTAGCCCACCTGCTGGGAAAAGTACTCAGACCTAATGCAAAAAACGATGGTAGGGCAGATGATAATAGATGATGGCTGCTTTTCTCTGCTTAGTAGTGAATAATCTGGGAACTAACAATCTTTGAAAACTCTGACTTTTTATACCAGTAGTTCTGAACCATAGCTGCTCATTAGCATTGCCTGGGGAGCTTTCAAAACCCACTAAAGCTTGGCCTTCACCCTAATTCAGTCTGAATCCCTGGTGAAGCCAATGTATCGCCTGAGATGAAAAATGCTTTACATTAAAACTATTCACCTGGGGCCGGCCGAGTGGCGCGATGGTTAAGAACTCGCTTGGGATGCCAGAGGGCCCCGGTTCGGATCCCACATATGAGGGCCAGTGACACTGCCCTCCACAGCTAAGATGCTGAACAACAGCTCAACCTGGAGCTGGGCTGCCGTGAGTCGCCGGCGACGGCGTAGGCTGCAGCCCCCTTGGCAGTGGGTTGCCATGGGCTACCGTGTGTAGCCAGCAGCCAGCGTGAGCGGCCAGCAGCCAGCGTGAGCGGCCAGCAGCCGCAGTGAGCGGCCGTCCAGAAGCCGGCGACTGATCTGCCTCACCAGGGAAGAGCGCAATGATGGTGCCAACTTGGGCCAGTGAAGCAACATCCTCCACAACTAGATTGAAGAACAAAAATGACAGCAACTTGTATGTTCCCCTTCACCCAGTTCCCCAGCACTGTTCCCATCCCCCCAATTCCCCAATAAAAAAAAAATCTTTAAAAAAAAAACCAACCAAACAAACAAACAAACAAACAAACAAAAAAACTATTCACCTGGAAATACTGGGTTGTTGGAAAAATCATGACACATTTTTGCAACAAAAAAATAGAAAAACTACGTTATGAGTTTTCCAACAACCTAACAGTTCAGCGTCTACCAGTATGTTAGATGCTGGTTAGGAAAATGAATGGTGTTTTGTGCAAAGGCCTTTGAAAGATTAAAAGATGGTTTTAATAATAGTCTCTAATTTTCTTGCCATTATCAATACACCATAAACCACCAGATTAACTCATAGTTCCCTCAAAGAAAAGTCCTTTCCTTTATCCCTCTGAATTTAGTCTTTGGGTCACTAAGCCTATGTTCTTAGATACTTGAAAGCTCCTGTTTCTGTGTTTCTGGCTTATCCGCCTAGTTTGCGGTTCTGCATCGACCGTCCGATCTTTCCTCTTTCCTCAGCACCTCTTCCTTCCATCCTCTCTGCCTTCTCCTCCTCATGCCGCTCCCATCCTGTGAAACTGTGTGCTTTGGGCAGATGAGGCCACTTGGGGGAGATTGAGCAGTGCTGTTGTAACCTTTACGTGACCACGGGTCAAGCGTGCTTGGCAGACAAGAGGAATGGAAAGCCAGGAAAGCATTCCAAGGGAGGGAAACATCAGTAATAACAGTATGGTTTGCGCTGTAGCATGAAAAAAAATTTTTTTTCTTTTTCTCCAAAAGACGTGGGGGTTGAGGGGAGGGTGGGAAAATGCAAATAGATGTTTTCTACCTCATAATGAAAGCAGGTTGCGCGATGTGTATACAAGTGGGGAATTGTGGTCTCTTATGATCACAATTTAAAGAAAGGCAACAAAGCAACAGATAAAAATCTGTCCAGGAACCCACACCTAGAGAGAGAGAGAGAGAGAGAGAGAGAGAGAGAGAGAGAGAGACACCCTTGTCTGCAGCAAAGAGGCCCCTTTTGATGGTCACGGTCACGTTCCGCTGTGTTGAGAGAGAGCACAGATTACAAGTGAGGCAGGAGGGAGGGAAGGGAGGGCGAGTGGGGTGGACCGTGCAGGGGCGCCTGGGTTAGAGGAAGGGCCAAGCAGCCCTCTGGCTCTCTCACCAGCCCCTTTCTGGCATTGGCTGGGCTGCGGGCAGGCCCTGCTGAGGGCCTGGTGGGGACAATAGCCAGGAGAATTGCACAGTCCCGCCGTGCATTCAATCCCTGGCAGGATACAGAGAGGGTTCCTGGAGGTGGAGGGCAGGCAGGGCTGGACCCTGGGGGTCCCTTGTGCCATAGTTCAGGGGTTTGCATCTTTCTCTTAAAAAACGATGCCCAATCTATGAAGGAGTTTTGGGCAGCAGAGGATCATGGGAAGATTTAGATTTATTTTTTTAGACTATCCCTATGACTTTAGTTTGAGACCGGATTGGAAGGTGAGCCTGAATGAAGACAGCAGAAGGAGGGGGTCAAACATGAGAGACAGTCAAGCTCAGAACATCTTTTCTTCTTCATTTCCCACACACCTACATTGTCCAGCTCACCTTCCATCCCTCTGGCTCACATGCTGTGTGGTGGTCAGATGGAGCAGCTGGCCACTCTCACCAGCATCGCCAGGCTCGGTCCTGCGTGCCCTGTCTAGTCCCTTTGCCTGGAACACTCTCCCTGTCTCACATCTTTCTTCAGCCCACACATCCTGCCACGAGGAGGAAAGCACCCAGGTCCCACGGCTTTGTGGACCAAACCTTCCCAAAACACCTGTACAACAAGGCAGCGCTCATCCTGTATTGTTTGTTTTTCTTTTTCTTTTCATTTTATTCTTCTATCTGTCTCCCCAATAGACTGAAAGCTC